GGACGCGTGTTGGCAAGAGCCGCGTGCTGAAGCCTTCACCAGCCCCCTGCACAGACGGTGAATTTTCAGCAAGCATCTGGATTCTGCATTGTTTTAGTTTTGCAGTAGTTTAAAGATTTATGTCCCTTTTTTTGGCCATAGCTTTTCATCTTTCCCCAGCAGCGCTTCTTCCCAGTCTCCCGAATGCTTCGGCTGCTTCTCTGGGAAACTCTAGTTGGCCACTTACTCCTGAGAGCAAATTTCTGCTTCCCACTCAATGCACATTTAGTTTTTCTCAGCTTGTATTTCTCCCAGTTGACTCTCATTTTGCTATTCTTTTGCTTATGTTTCTAATCTTCTGGTGTGCATGACCCAAACTGAAGTCACTTTGCACTGACTTCCGCAGCTGTGGTTTACACGCTGTAGTCTGTTTTCTGATGTTTGCAATTATACTTCCAATTCAGTATTATCTGCAAGTTTCATTAACTTGCAAATAATTCCCCCATCAGCCAGGATACCAAAAGCAATGGCTCTGCTGCGGTCAGGGCCGTGGCCCGGCTGCCCTCGTGCATCCCTGGGGTCGGCTCCAGGAGGAGCTGGGGGGCCACGCAGCGATGGCACAGGCAGCTCTGCGGCACGACGCCTGGCAGCACGTCCTGCATTGAAGCAGGGGAGGGGAATGGCCCAAGGATTTATCACGTAGCCTTGAAGGCCTGCACCAGCTCTCTCCCTGGGCACTTAAACGTCTGTGCACGTCTCTTTTTACAGTATATCATAATCCCATGGTTCTGCAATAACCCTCTTTTCCTAAATGCATGCATCGCTGTTTAGCATCCCTCTTCCTTACTGACCCCCCCCCCACCACGTTTTCACCTTGTCACTTCCGAGGTGATTTGTGGGGAGTTTGAGAATAAGGTAGCACAGGTGGTCTAGCATCTTAAATACCCTGCAGCTAGTGCCAGCACCATCCACCACAGCCTTACCTTCAGGGAGACGACTAACTTTGCATCCCCAAATCTCTTCCTCTTTTACTCCCAAAATATGCAATAAGGTAACAGTGCACAAGAGCATCGTGTGACTGTTCTTCATCTAAAGCGCAGAGAAAATCATTTCCAATCCAAATAGCATGGTGGTTAAAGCTGGAATATCTTCTTACAAGGAAAACAGAAGAAACTTTGAAAGGGATGCTAATAATTGCACTTTTGTAGCAGCTCTCGTTCAGGATATTAAGGCATTTAAAACGGCAGGCAGTCCTCCAAGCATGCAATTGCTTTACCCCTCTCCTTGCTTGGTCTCAGAGGGCCTGGGCCTTCACACAGCGACCTTCCTGCCCGGCTCTTCCACCCTGCCGGCTCTTCTTTTCTCAGCTTGCTCCTCAGTTTCTTTCTCTTCAAAGCTCCCAACTTTGACAACTGAGTATTACAGTAAGTTCATTAAATTTCTGGAAATGAGCTAAATAGTTCTTGACTGGAGCCCTTTCCACTAACTTGCAGGCACCAGACTGTCGCTGCAAGCCAACGGAGCAGAGCAGGAAGGCATTGCAATAAACACAAGTCTAAAATTACTGATGGTCTCTCCGGGCTCCCTGTCAAAAGGCAGAGCGCCCTTTGAGCTGACCTGACCCTACTATATGTGAAGCCCCCTTCCCTCACGCTTTCTGTACCAGTTTTCATTCAACGGTATCAGCTAACACATACCTGTGCCACTTTCTTACCAGCATGATCCTGCTGACTTCGTTTGGGCTGCTCTGGCTGGGATTTGACAGCAGCAGATCAAGACCTTCATGTGCCGCTTTGCTATAAATTCAATGTGCTGGTCCACATTTCTTAATGTCGACATACGAGCTTTATACGGTGGCTCGGGTATGATGGGTCCGTACCACTTTCATTTGGGGTGAGGTCAGCTGTCTTTTGTCCTCTGATTGCAGTGCAGCCACAGGGTAGGGGCTAACGCAACAGAAGCGTGGTCATGTGCCCACCCCAAATCCAGTCCAAATTCGCATTCCCAGGTGATCTCGTAGGGTGCAGGTCTGGTGATAATGACCGGCATCATGATGCGAAATGCTCGACATGTTACTAACGCGCTCACGCGTGCGTATGATGGGGTCTCGGGCTGCAAATCTCTTTTAGAGGAAACCCTGTTTTCTCTCACTTTTTAAAATCTTTTAAATAATGACAGCTTCTCGCGAGGCAAACCATAAAGGCTTTGCCAGTTCATAAACCCTGCTTACTCTCTATCCCAAATACATGGATGGCTTTAAGCCACTTTTTTATTTATTTATTTAATCCCACAGAGTTTTCAAACTTCTTTTTTCTGCCTAGGAGGAAATTCCTTTCCTGGCCTATGCCAAACAGCAGACGATCACAGCCCATCGCTGTATAGCGGCGTTCCCACCCGTGTTGCTGATGTCCCCAGCAGATTGGAAATGCATTATTTTTCTTCCTTTGCAGTCAAACAGAACTGAAAAAATCTGTATAGCAAATATTCCCTGAGAGGCTATATTTATTCTCAGTATGTCCACTTGTAATAATAGCTCTGCTGGTTATTGTGTAATCAAGCAGACCGCCTGGATGGAGCAGGTTTTTGGCGTAACCCTTTGAATGCCAAGGCTTAGGTTCCCCCAGATGTCGGGATGAACTGCAGCTCCATGCATCCGTCCGGTCTGCGCAGAGGAGGGGGAGCGGAGGGCTGCCGATGGACCCACGGCGGGAGAGAAAGGTGGGCTGCTTTGCCAGTCGGCACAGGGAACGTTTCCGAACCACCCTAGGAAACTTGCCTGGGGTGTGTTGAGTATTTCCTGGCTGCTCCTTTGTTTTTTTGCAATTTAGGCTTTGTCTTTTGGAGACTTTTTGGCAAGGTCTGCAGCAGCTTCCCCCCCCGCCCCGACCTCCCTTGGTGCAAACCTTTCACATCCTCTTTGCCTGACTCCGGTTCAAAGGTGATCTGATCTGAGGCTTTTGGGCCTGATCTTACGTTTCCTCCGGTGCCTTAATGGCTTTTCCTTTTTGGCATGGGGCGAGGAGGGGGAGTGGGAGTGTGTTGCACCCAGTAAGCGCCACAGGCTGTAACGCGATCAACTGGCTCGAGCTCACCCAGCTCAGCGCTGGGACTGTGCCCGTGGCTGGGTTAACTGGCCATGGACGCTGTCAGGCGCAGTGGTTTGGAATACATTTGCAGATTTTAGGTCAGACTTCAGCCCTTCCTGCTGCATTACACGAGCATCAGCTACAGGAGCCCAGAGCTTGGTGCTGGGCGAATTATCTGGTTCTCCCATCAAGGCCACTAAATACATGACGGACCTGTGCCGAGTCTTGCAGGTCTGTTTTGGACCATTGGGCATCTTGCCTATGCAGATGTGCCTGCACTTACATATGAGATGGTATTTCAGTGAGCAACAGAAGATTGGAGGATGCGTCCTGAGTTGCATGGTCCAACCTTTGCTGTTGGAAACCAACAGATCGTAGCTCTATCAAGCAGTATCCCGTAACTGATGTGTTCGCATGTTTTTACTATGTTCCTTGGTAGTTCCTGCTGGAAAGCTGACTTGGGCACATGCAGACTTGAAGACCATCTTCTGTACCATGGGGATTGCATCTGGAAACAAGCTGCAGGCCTTGTGTGTGTAATACCAGTATAAAAAACAAGCAAGTCTTTTGAGCTTCCTTTAAAATCTCCGCCGTAGATTAATGTATGTTTTCCCACCGTGCTACTTTGTACGGAGAACGCATGCAGCAGAAAAGATCAAGAGAAGAATTTGACAAAACATATTTGGAGTAAACATTAAATAAGCTAACATATTCTTAAGTTCATCCTTTTCCACCCTGATTTTGAACCCTGACCATATTAATTGATGGTTGAAGTGGGAAGCTGTCAACATAAAATGACAGTGCTGCATGGTGTATACGATTTTACAGGGACATGGGAAAGAGATGGAATTTAAAAAGGCTTCTGAAATGGGTGGTTTATTTTTCATTAGTTCTGTGAAAAGTTAACACATCCATGACTTGGGGAGTGCTAACAAATCAGAGCGTACTGTTTCGCTTTCTGTACAATCCCAGACTGTTTTGCTTCCTGCAAGGGCAAAACTTGTCTGTTTTTCTTGAAACTGCATCTTCTAAAATTACATTTTGAGTAGAATGAGGTTAAAAGAATGCAAGCGGCGCTGTTTTGCAGATCGAAAGTAAGGTTGAATAACCACGTTTTTTCTCTGCTGACATTGTGAGGGTTTGGTCTGTGCTGCTTGTTAAGCAGTGGGGAAAGGGGGGGGGCCGGCAGCGGCGCCTGCGGCTGCTCCCGCTCCAGCTCCCGCGGGGCTGAGCCAGGCGAGCTTCCAGCCCTCAGGAAAGGGGCTCATGTGTTTTGGGTTTGGATGCGGGTGATATGGCCAGGCTCAGGCCCTGGAGCACAGGGAAGCAGAAGCCAAACCATGGCTTTTTGAAGTAAACTTTTATTTACATGCTCCCTGGGGCAACTGATACGGTAATACCAAGTCCCTTGTTTTATACTGCCTTTGAAACTCTTGAAACCCAGAAGTTTCTGAAACTGTAGTGGAGAGGCTGAGATTTGTTTGGTTGTAAACCCGCCGCAGGTCTGCAGGGCGCGAGCTCTGCCCCGTTCCTGCGTGATGTCCCACAAGTGCCAGCTCGTGTCCCACGCACTCCTTTGAGAGCTCCCAATTCCCCACGTTCTGCGCCCCAAAACCCCGTGCGAAATGCGGAAGCACTTGATTTTCCTGCACCTCCCCCTCCCTTCTGCTCCTTCCATTTGCTCCCCAGCACAGGACGATGCTGCAATGCTCCTTTGCTACCCCTGTAGCCCGCGAGCATGGGGTTTAAACAGAATTAATTAACGCTGAGACATTCTGCCTCTTCTAATAAAGATGCTGCCTTTTAATTGTGGGAGCTGCTTGTGTTTTCTTGAGAGAAGTGCTAAAGAGACTCAGTAATATATGCAGCCTAGCTAAGATGCAGCGTGTGAAGAACTGCAGCTTGGTGGGAAGGTCTGCAACGTCAGGTATAATAAGAAATGTATCGTTAATAATTGACCGTCTTTTAAATAATCTTTCCTGATAAGGAAGACAGTCCAGTGATAGCCCAAGCAGGATTTAGCGTTCTGTGTTTTATGAAAAAGATAAATATGCTCCCTATAAAAAGTCACTAATTTTAAAGAGCAGGTTTTAACCGTCTTCAGAAAGGTCATAGGAGAATTATGTGCTGGTTCATTAGGAAATTAATCCATCTTTTGTTCTTCTTGTTTCAAACTTGTATTTGCTTTTCAAGCAAGGTCACTGATCAGCTGACCAACTTTTTAACAACTGGAAAACGCATGTTTGCTGCTCTGAACACTTAACTATTGGCTCTCAGCGCCGGGAAAGATACCTCCGAGAGAGGAAAGCTCTTCTGCTCACTGATTTTTTTGTGGCTGGGAGAACGAGAAGGTAACACGATAACATGCTTTTCTAATGATAGTTTTCCTTTCATAATGAAGTGCTAAATCGAACTGCTGCAGTGCAGGAGAAAATGACAGCCACAGCTAAAAAGAAGTGTTATGTTAGAGCTAATGAGAGTGGGTTAACGTGCTAGTCAGCAGGGATGAATTATCTTCTTATTTATAGGCACAGGGTTAAATGTTTCTAATTTAACGTTACTAGCAAAGTCCTCTCAGAGAATGACTTTCACATATATATCTGTCTTTGTGGTTCAGTTAATTCGTTCTCTAAATCTTCTGGGGTATAATGCTGCTTTCATTTTTGCTGACTTGGGTGCATGGGGCGGGTAGATGCTTATAATGTCATGACAAGTGATAGAGAGTAAAGGAAGAGTTAAATGTGACCATAAAGAAATAGTCTTCGAGAGATGGCTATTTAAAAAGACAGTACATTGTCACTGCGAATGAGTTGCCCAAGGGGATGAAATGACTCCGGTCTGTACTATTGCCTTCTCAAATATTTGGCTTCTTGATTTGCATTTCTCTGTATATTATGCTTGCCTTGTGGAAAGTAATGTAATATAAACATGGATTAATCCTCCCCACAGCCATTGTGTGTAGTAAAACTGAAAATCAAAGGTGCTATGTATGTGGCGATGTCTGCCTGAGGATTAAAATACTGGTTTTCATTATTATGTAATGGAGGGAAAGTCTACCAGCATAAAACTTGAGCCAGGGTCAGCTGAACAAGGGTGTGCATAACGTCCTTCCTCTCAGCATATAGTCTGGGACCGTTAGGACAGCATAGTTCGGTATTTACTAACGGAGATGAATTTACAGAACCGCTGAATGCCGTCATGTGTCTATATGATTTCTCTAAATAATATGGGCATACAGCAATGGGTCCCTGCCTGTGCGTGAGAAGGGTGACCAGGATGAGCTGCGGCAGACATAGTCCTGAAGTCGGGCCCCGCTTTAGGGCAGAAGGGTGCATTTCGGGCTGGTGTTAGCGCTCTGCCGTCACAGAGGCTGGGGCAGGGCTCACACGGAGCAGGCTTGGGCACTGTGTCCCAGGGCGCAAAGGCCAGACCGGGGCAACTTCAGACATTTTCATGGGATGGTTAGAGGTAGGTGGCTTCAGCCACTGCAGCCCCACTGCAGAAGACAAATCCCCGTTGTCCCTCATGGTCACCCTCAATGGGGCTTCCAGAGGCTGGAGGTTGACAGGGGGACTTCTGGGTTTGTTTAGACAGGGACGAGGCCATTGGGCTTGGAGACTTCCCTCCCCCTTGCCTGTCACTCTGCCGGCTCCGGATCGCTGTTTGCTTGCAGCTGGGCGATGCTGCATGCTCAGGGCTCTCTTCCATGCACTGACTTCTCAAGAGGTCCAGTCGCTCCTTGAATTGCGGGCCAGACCCTCATGCTGAAGAAGTGTCTCTGAGGACTAGCCCGCTTGAAGCCAACGGAGTGAAGAGGACGTGAGCTGGGACATCTAACTGCTGTATCCGCAGGCACAGGGTATAGCCCCAGCAAAGCCACCGAATTGGGGCTGGAGCACCCTGATTTTGTAGCTGGGACCCATCCATGTCCCCAGTAAGAGGCAACCTTTTCTTCTCAGACTGCCTGAAAGGTTTGCACTGAACATGGGGGGATTTTGCACCCGCAGCCTGAGTAGGTACTTGGATGGAAGATTATCCTTCTTCTCGAGCATAGTTCCTTCCTTAATAGAAATTAAATCCCTTTTCACTTCTGTTGCACTGAGATGGCTGCAGGAGGCAGCTGCATTTCCAGGACGTTTATTCGGACGGATGCCTTCATTTCACTCTCGTTTTTATTATGGACAGTCATTGGAGAGCACCAGTTGGGGAACAAGTACCTGTGGTTTTGGCTCCAAGCCATCAGAGCTGTGTCTAAACGGCACCAGAGGGAACGTGGGAACATCAGCAAGCTGGTAGGGTACATTCAACATCCTTTTACGAGGTGATTCTGAAAGAGATTGGTCAAAAGAGAAAAGTAATAGTATCAATTTGGACTGCAGAGTTGGGACTGAGCCAGCTCATAAATGAACCAATTAGCTATAATTATCTAGATATTAAAAAGCATCCTATTGACTGACTTTTTTTTTTTTTTAATAAATGACCTAGAAGAATGAAATGTAACTGGTCATACTGTAGCTGAGATTCATAATTGCTCCATAATTGACTGTAATCGGAAAATTAAAAAAAACATTTGAGTGAAAAAGGTTAGTGTTCATTTTGGCACACACTATTTATTGGCAGAAAGAGACAGAAGAAATTGCCTTTTATAGAAGAAGTGTAGATAATTTGGGAACACATATGAGTCTGTTAGTCAAAATGGTTCAGAAACACACTTTTGTGAGCTGATTCTGTGGCATTAATACAGGAGAGAAGCAAATTACTCGTTGGGCAGGTGCTAGTCTTTCTGGCTTGCTGCATGAGCGTCGGCGAGGTACCTACCATGGAAACATTTTTAAGACTGTTGATATTCTTCTTTGTTTAGGGACCCTCTGCCCTCCAAACATGCCAGCATGGCTGAATACAGATTTACCTTAATGACAAAACTGCAACTCTTTTTTTAAAAGGTTTTGATCTTTCAGTATATCAGTGCTAAGATAATAAAGCAGCAGGATTTGCCTTCATTTTCTCAGCTGGCCTTTGATGCAATTACAACATTTCAGTGCTTCTAGAAGAGAAGAGCAGCGGCACCTCTATGCTCTGTTTATACTCGAGTTGTCTGTACTGTATTTCTAGTTATCTTGCCATTTCCACAAGAAGAAAGTTGAGTTACAAGATGCAAAAATAATTACATAAGAAAAGAGGAATTTAGGAGATGCAGAACAGAGGACAGACTAGACAGAGCTTCCCTTGAGTCTGTAAATGAGCCAGCGCTCTAGAGAGGCTGTTCTGCCGGGGGACGCTGCAGAAAAGAAAAAAGAAAGATTGAAGAGATGGCTAGTGCTAGATAAGTGCCATAACAGGCAAAGTGAAGCGTAGAAGTTGGCTGGAACCCATTCATAGGGAGCTATGAAAGCACGGTCACATGCTAAAGTCCTTATTTAGGCAAAATACTAGCAGCAGAAAATGAATTCAGACGCTGACGTTTTGATCAAAGAGATGAATGTGAACTAGATTCTGAAGGAAAGAGTCACTACTGCATTCCCTGCTGGCTAGGAGCCATCTCTTTGAGCTGCCTTGTCCTTCCCCTACGAATCTGGAGTAGATTAGGGAACTGCTACAGCCTACTTTGAGAAGTAGCGGTGGATTTCCAACCTGCTATGGGACCATCTTTGGCTCTCTGGCTAGGAACTAAATTAGATACTTGAAGGAAAATCCTAAACAACCAACCTACTGTCCGAGAAAACCCTACTTTTCCCCACACAAGAAACAAAAATAAAGATGGGCCTTCTCACGCTGAGCATCAATGTTGTCCTTCTCATACAAGTTACGAAACCTCCTGGAATGATATCCAATTGCCTTGACTTCCTTACCCCTAGCCTGCCTCCTCCTGGCATCTTTCTAGCAGGCATGGAAGAAGAAGGCTTCACCCAGAACCTTTCTTGGTTGTTCCTGGCCTTAAACTCTGTACTCCTGCAGTCCAGGAGGTTCTTACCATGTCTGCGTAATGGGAAAGAGAGATGGAGGGCAATACAGACTAGGCTCAATATAAAGTTTGTCATACAGACTGTGGTAGATCTCCATCTGCAGATCTTTCCAATAGGAAAGGCTTTCACAGAAGTAGTATGTTTCAGTGTGTTTTGGTGAAGGCTCATTATAACAATATGGACATGTTCTGAACTGATGGATTTTGTTTGAACATGATTTAGTATGGATTCTTAGTCTTTGGTTGTCATTCGTTTATGCAGTCACTTCTGTGCACAGTTTATATCCCTTGCAGTTTTCTCCCTTGCAGCAGATGACATATTAAGCAGGATGCGAGCTGCAGATGATATCCAGCTTGCAGTAATCAATGAAGCGTTCCTACGCCACCTATTGCAAACCTAACAGAAATTCTCCTTTCTCCCTTTGGCGTTCAGGCATAGCGTAGTACTATGTTATGTAGTGCAAGGGGTGTTTTATAAGGAAGAACTACACTGGATGCATCTATGAAGCAAGAGTTGAAAAGGAACTATAGATTTAAGCATGCTTAAAAGTGTTCACCAGACATGGTCGGGCTTCAGAATACTTGAACTAAAAGGTATTATGAAGCGGTGTAAGGCCTTAAGGACAGGTCAAGTGGGATGATTGATCTTTTTTCATCTAAAAAATGTTTGTTTGCTTTTTCAAAAGGTGACCTGACTCATCTGTCGTAGCCTGTTGGAGGATGATTAACTGACAGTGACAGCCTGATTAGACCACATCATGGAGAAAACAGATGGTATGGAGGTTACTGGCTGTTTGCTTGCTTGTTTGTTTCTTTAAAAAAAACCCAAGCCCTGAAGTAATTTCCTTACCCAAAATACTGTAAATAACCTGTGTTCTATAGATACACACGAGGGCCAAGGGATGAAAAATGCAGCTTTCCTATATTATGCAGCTGTTGTAAACCACAGTGAAAACATGGTCACAGCTCTTATAGTTCAGCACGTATTTGCCCTCCTGTCCTCTGTTCTTTGTAGATCCTTCTCCAAGCGGTGAGGCTTTGCTTTTGTGCCACATCACTCTGCGCTGCATTTCCCCTTTATCGTCCCTCTGATTTGCACATGCTACCTCCCATCAGAAAGGCAGCTACATTTCAGTAGTGCTTTTGTGATGAAAGGAACCTAAAACGGTGCCAAATTCTCCCGGTCCCTGCACAGCTGCCGCACCAAGATGGAGACAAAGGAAACAGCGATGAAACGTGTTTTATCTTGGCTGGGCTACTCCGCCCCTTATTTATAGATCATGGCTTGTTTCCTCGAAGGTGCTGAACAGTCAAAATCACTTTGATTTCAGGGACTTGTCACATAAAGAAGGAAAAAGACAAACAACAAACAGGCTGTTGTTTTTATTCCCCGAATTTGGATTTGGGGGTTAACTGTTTAGACACTGGAGACAGAAATTGGGGGCCTGGGAGTTTTACAGGCTGGGTTTCAGGGTGACCAGGTTTGCTTCTGTTTGGGGACATGGCGCTGTTGCATTACTGGTGCAGAAGTTTAAATTGCCGGAGGCGATACTTTTATAACCTCAGATTCCTGCTTTGGCCTTCCTGTGGTAAGTCCCTCGCAGTACTTGCCAGTCCCTGCTTATAACGGGGAAGGAGTGACCACGCAGATAGGAGCAAAACAGAAGACAGTGTGACTGTATGACACTGATGGCCACTACGAGTGACGAGGGGCTGCTGACGTAGCTGGTGTCAGCATCTGCCTTTATGAGAGCTGCATGCAGGTGGTGCGAGGCTGCAGCACTGAGGCTGTGCCTTTTCCTTGCATACAGATGGGTGGACAAATTGACAGTTTTGCAGTTAACACATTTCATGGTGCTGCATTTGCCTCAATTAGAAGACATGCTCTGTGACGTGTATCCAGGAACCTTAGGAAGCACGTGTTTTGCACAGATATGAGTACATAAAGCAGTGCCGGTTAGCTATATCAGGCTCCTGTCCTTTTCTGTATTCATTGTTTTCAGGGAATAACTTGTAAGCCAGTATTTGGTGATGAAACGGTGCAAGTGTTTCCCTGCACGACTTGCACTGTGCTACGTAAGGCTGCTGAAAAGTTAAAAACAAACAAAAAAATAACCTTGAAAAATTTAATTGTCACAGATAGTTTCCACCTTCTGTGTTTAAGCTGGATTTATTATTCATTGGGCAGCTTTTTATACTTAGACAAATGTAGCTCTTCCTGCAAAACCTGCTGTTTGCATAATTGTCAATTAGAGCTATGATTCCAGCAAATTTTTGGCTTCTTCTGTGCAACCGTTACCTGCTTCACTTCCAGAAAACACGACCATGCATTTGCAACATTTTGCTCCATTGCTGCATCTCCGAACAAATTCCCCATCAGCATCCGTGAGGAAAAGGTGCAAACCCTTTCCTTACTGGCGTGAGCTGACTGTGCAGAGGCGTCATGCAGCATCCCGCCAGTTTTAGCCAGGATGACTCCTGGCCTTTCGGCACTGGGAGGCTGATGTATGGAAGATGAAAGGGCCAGGTTTGAAACTGAGGTGAAATAAATAGTGGCTGCATTTCTACCTCTGCTCTAAACATATATTTGATTTTTTCTTTGTTTTTAATCTACCAACTATTTAAATTTTAATCATTTTTTCCTGCATTTATTTCAGCAAATGACCAGCCACTGAAATCCAACGGGGACAAAGACCAGCCCCGAAGCCTGCCCTACTCTGTTGAAACACCCTATGGCTTTCACTTAGACCTGGACTTTCTGAAGTACGTGGATGACATTGAGAAAGGAAACACCATCAGAAGGGTTCACATCCACCGTAAAGCCAAGCAGCCAAAATTTAGCACGCTGCCCCGAAATTTCAGCCTGCCGGAGAGCGGGTCCCGTGCATATGCCTCTGCTCCCAGCAAAAGCTGGACCGCAACCTACTCATTTGCGCAACGAAAGACATCATTAGGGGCAGAAGAAACTCCCCGTCCTCTGGTACCCTGTGAGCTGCCTCCATCTGCAGCCGCTGTAGAGGAGCCAAGTTACCGAAGAAAAGCCCTTTTAGGCGAGACAATGAGGCAAGCTGAGCTCACGCAGCCGGAAGAGGAGAAGGCCAACCATCGGGGGAGGCCCCAGCTGCTCCGGGCCTCCAGCATGCCAGCCACGCTCCCGCCTGGCCAAAGTGCGGAGGAGGAAAGTCAGGTGCCTTCTCCACTCTTGGCATCTCTTCAGCCCTCTGATGACAAGAGCTGCTCAGAAAGTTCCCTTAGCCCTGCAAAGGAGGCACCGCTTTCACCCGGCTCTGACAGCTTTGCCCCAAATCCCCCCCAAGAGACACAATTAGAGCAACGAGCGGCAGTGCAGAAGAAGGAGCAGCCTGGGTGGCAGCAGGCTAAAGTCACAGCTGTGCTGGAGCGCCAGCCAGGAGACCTCCTGAAGATGCCATCTCCATGGCAAAACCAGCACCCTGCAGCACAGCAGCTGCAGGTGGTTGTGGAGAGCCGGGGAGAGGAATGTGATGCATCAGGAGCACACAGCTGGCCTGAATTAGCCAAGGATGGATCTGCCTCAGCCAGTGCCCTCCAGCTTGCTGATGAAAACAAGAACCATGAGAAAAGGGAATTAAGCGTAAGTGAAATCACGCCAGATGCACTGAGGAAAGCCGAAGACAGAAGTATTTGGGCTAGAGAGAACAAAGAAAATTGGAGCCCTCAGCCTTTGCTTTGTGATACAGTTGAGGCCAGCAGAATCGCAGCACTGAAACAGCAGATTGCTCTTCTGGAGGAGCAGCTAAGCAGCAAAAAAGAAGAACTCGAACAGATCAGGGTAGTGCTGAAGCAGCAAGATAATGAGATCAAGGAAAAGGAGAAAAGTATTAAGTTACTAGCAAGCTCCAAAGCCCAGCTGGAAGAGAAACTGCACTGGGAAAATACCAGACCGCTGGCCAAGCAGGGCGGCGGCACTTTGCAATACTATGACGCTGCAGTGAACACCGAACTCACACAGACAGACAGGCTCAAGCAAGGCCATGACAAAGGCGTCAATGTAAATATCCCAATCTCTACAAAATCCATAGGCTGCAGTGTTTACAGAGCAGACAACGTGAACTCTCAGGCTAAGGAGTTAAGCAGTAAGTTGGCTCAGAGAGATCAGGGAGTGGCAGATGTTCACGCTGGCGTCAGCGGAGAAGGACCTGAATGTTTTTCCAAACACACAGAGAATGAAGCAAATATTGAGCCTGCCCTTCGTACGCCATGTTTCACTGAGCTGAAGATTGATGAACATCTCAGTGATGATAATCAAAATCAAAGAAATAACTCTGATACCCAGAGTCTTGCTGCTCATGCAACGACTGCAGGAAGCTACCACAGAACAAGAATTGACTCAAGTGCAGTTGAAAGCAAGCCAGCCTGTAACGAGGATGTGATGGAAGAGGAAGGTCACCCTAACCGAGAAGATTTCTCTGCTGTTGACCCCATAGGCCAATACGTTAAAAAAATCCAGGAGCTTTTGCAAGAGCAGTGGATGTGTTTGGAGCACGGCTATCCAGAGTTAGCGAGTGCTATTAAACAGCCTGCCTCGAAGCTTAGCTCCATTCAGAACCAATTAGTTAATTCCTTAAACTCATTGTTATCTGCCTACTCTACACAAGGGCCAGCAGATAAGGAGAATTCGAACACACAGTATCAACAGTTGGGTAAATAATACTGGTCTAGGTTTCAACGTGTCTGGGCCAAATCTCATTTAATCGAGCGTAAAGCAGGTGTAATGCAGTGGAACTCGGTGGTATATGTAGTCTCAGTGAAACCAGAAATAACTCCTCCTAAAAATATATGTTTGAGAAAAACAAATCTCACCACGTCACAAACCGTGAAATCTTAAAAATGAAATACAAACAATACATGTAAGAGCTGATAAAGCTGTGGCTCAGTTACGTGCAAAGTCAACTTCCAAGAGACTCAAAACCTGTAGCTGTTACCTTGATTAATCCTGCCAACTGTTTTCCTTAATTGGATTGGATGGCCCAATTTGCGAGAGTGCAGGAATCGGCTGCTTCTCTGGTGTAAATCAGCATGAAGTTCATCAGAACTAAAACAATTCAACCTAACTGAGCAGCTAGGCTGTGAAAAGACCTGTCCCCAGTCACAAAGTAGTTTATCTAGAATGATTCTAGCTTATCAGAATCCAAAAGACAAGGCCCCCTATTCACTGTCAGAGGGGCCTTGTAAATAGATATGTGACTGTTACTTAGAAGCAATATGTAAAGAGACCATTCAAACTCTTACGGAGAGAGTCATCCTTATAGTATTATAGGAGAGGTGCTGGGCAGAAACCTCCATAGCATCAATATTGAAAATACAATGTTTTCTGAATCCTCAGAAGACATTATTATGAGAGTAAAGCCTGTTGCTGTTCACAGAACCTGCATATGATTTTCAGCCACTTGCCTTATATTCCCAGGCACTTGAAGATGTTTGAGGTCCTTATCTTAAAGATAGCAAGGCAGGTTCAGACCGTGTCCAGATGCATTAGTAGTTCTGCAGAATATAGAAGGAATCTTATAAGATCAAGTTACATGCTTACTATTATGATTTGTAATTTGTTACTACAGGTTGAGAATAATCATTGATAATTATGTCACATCTGCTTATTTAATCTATTATTTTGTATTTTGCTAGAAATCTCTCCAACCACAAGTCTTAAATCTATCATGAAAAAGAAAAGTTATGGTTTCCATGCAGAAGGCAATGGGACCAAAAAGAATCTTCAGTTTGTTGGGGTAAATGGTGGGTAAGCATCAGTTAAGAAGATAAAACTGCCTTTCTAACATGTCATGTCATCTGTATTGCTGAAGAAGTCATTCTTTTTTTCTTTTCTCCCCCTCCAAATCTCTTGATTAAAAGGCCGTTTGAAATGGAGCCTCTTTTCTCCCTTCTTTAATCCAGTACTGATAACCTGTAAGTAACCCCGTAGAAAAGACCGGGACATCAGTGTTTATAGAGGACCGAGGGACATCCCTAGAGACTTCTCTGCTCACCAATCTTTTGGGGCTTCATCCAAAACCCAAGCAAGTCAGTGGGAGGATTCCCATGAACTGTGGTGGGTTTTGGATGAGGTCTGCATGGCCTGGGCAGGCATGGTGCAAACCTCCACAAGCTGCCCCTGACCTGCCTCCAGGCGGATGCAGGGAGAGTTAGTCTGCCCACCTGCACGCTGTGGGGACAGCCAACAAATGTACTAATTAACGCCCCTTGGGAAGTGGACAGTTTTATGCAAAATTAAGTGAACTAAAAACTAGTGAACTAAGTTCACTAAGAACTGAGCTGAGA